ATTATTTCCGTTTATCTTTAGCAGAGCTCCCCGCGCACTTCGAATAGCCAATTTCTCAAATAACACTTTTGCGATCAAAGGTATTTTTTGTTTCGCAGATGATTGACAACAGTTCGAGGTGTTTTGTCATTCTGAACTAAAATCTGATTTTTTAAGGAAGCTGATATTAGGAATGCGAAAAAATTGGTAAAAATGAACTCGCAAACTTGATGTGAATTGACTGAAGTTGTCAAAACCATCCTCAGAATCCGAAAAAAGCGTCCGACATTGATTATCCGAACTTTCGTGTTAGAATAATCAATGCTCCTGAATTTTTAATTAGATTTTTTCTAGTTCTTCGTAGTGCCACATGAAAATAAGGTGATGGGAGGTCCCATTTTTACTCCAGTTTTACGAAGAGTGATCGAAATCTCGACCGGTTGAACAACTTTTATCATTTAATCCGACTTCTTTTTTCACGTTTTTATTTCATCTAACAGTAAATACGGGACAAAATTACGCGTGACTTAGTTTTATACTGTATGTAATAAATTAAAAGCCATCGTAAAAATGGTTAAAAGTGACCATATATCCGATTTTTTTTTTCTAGAATTGATTTGTAATTGTGGTTCTGAAGCTATAAAGCAAAACTGCTTAAATTGCTTAAATCCATTTCAAAGTCATAAACTTGCCGACGCAATCATCTAAGAGGTTTTACTTGATTACTTCATAAAATACTTATCAAAGGTGTACTTTGAGATAATTCGGTTAATCAATTATGAAAGCAAACATATAAACTGAGTTCACCCTGTATATTTATATTGTTGATAAGGGGGGATAAGTATCGAAGCCGAAATTATCTCTGGCTTAATTTGGAATTAGGTTTTTCCAGAAGAAATAAAACAACTAAATGAACTTGTACATAGCTTCAGAAGAAATTCAAACTCTTATGTCGAGGATGAAAGCTTTACATCAATCAAACTGATTTGTGCTACTAGCTTTGTTGAAAAAGCCGTTTTTAGAAGAATGAAAAGAAAAACATTTTTCGATCGATTGACATACCACACTAAGCAATATACCAAGGTTGACCTCCATACGCCAAAGACACTAGTCATACAAATTTGTTAGTATAGGAATTTCATGACAAGACGAAAGAAATCAAAACACTAAGTTTACCGGGAAAACTTTTTATCATCATTCTTCTGACGTAAAAACAATTATTTACTCAATCAAGCATTCTCTAAAAAAAATTTGCATTGAATTTAATTTTTTGTTTTGTCTATCAAGTTGTGTCGATGCTCCAAAAAAATTAAAACCTTCATTTTCAAATTTGTTTTTTTTGCAGATAGCGGAAGCCTGAGTGCCTTGCATCTGCTAGGTACTAGACATTTTCGTATTCGATTATCACAAATAAATTAAGATCGGCGAGAAAAAATTGAAGCAGAAGATTTAAGCGTCTTTTTTGATAAGTTGACTGATTATGAATTAATGTTCCGACTTTCGTAACTAAATTAACGGAAGATTTGCGCTCTGCGTGGTTTTTTTTTTCTTCAGACATTTTTCGACTTACTAACTAGCCATTTTTGACAAGATTTCAAAATATCAATCAAACGGTAGTGTTGTCCTGAGCTTGAAACTGAAAAGATATTTTACCTGTGATTTTTTAAATTAAGTTATGGGCGTTTAAAGATTGCCATTTTGGCCATTTTAGGACAATAAACGCGCGATATATTTCGCGCTTTTGATGCATAAGCGGAGATTCAATTCGTCTTAGAAATCGTTCCAAAGTGGTCGAAGGAATCTTATTTGCCATAAATGATTTTGATACTAGAAGCGAAATCTATCAACTTACGATGAATCTTTGTACTCTATATGGCGTGTGGGTGGATGATTTTCACAAAACTCTCAAAGTTAAAAAGCATTCTTTTTTACTTTTGTTTTTCATGTTATTTTTGCTAAATAGATCTTAAAAGGCAGCCGGAATATTCAGGGCCTCGCCCTGATACAAGCAGTCTTGTTATAATTGGTTCAGAGATAGTATTTGTTTTAGAATAAATCGCAGAAAACAGTTTTTTGTGAGATATGAGTGTCATGCCAATCTGTGGGTATTCATTTCAAAATACAGGTCATATAAATATAAATCTGTACAAACTATTTTCTTGACATGCGTTTGTTGTTTTTGAAATAATGCTACGCAAAACTTTTCTGACAATTTTTGAAGTGAGCGGAATCATAAAATGGAAAGCGAAAGATTTGTTATAGCAGCTGATTATTCGGATCAAATATCTACTCTTTACTGAAATCGATTGCTTTTTGAGTTTTATTTTTAGCTCTCAATAAGAACCCCAATCATTTTATGGCAAACTTCGATCAGAAAATGAGTTTTCAACTTTCAGATCTAATGTTTTTTACAACTATAAAAAATTCCCTCCAAACTCTTTTCGATTTGTCGAAACTTCAACATTGAAAAACAACCTATCGAAACTTCAACCTATTGCTTTATTCAAAAAATTGGAGCATCATGCTAGTGAATTAATACATAGAGACAACAAGTTTTCAAGTGTTGCCCTGATAACAGTAATCCTTTCATATTTTCAAAAAAAAATTACAAACACGAAAAAATATAGCCAGAAAAAAAAGTTTTTTCATTTAGTTTTGTTGTACAGTTATTAAACATAATAGAGCAATAAAATTATTTCAAATAAAACTAATGAGTAGATTTTAAACGCTAAATATTCATTTACACTTATCATGAACTATCCGTAATCATCTCGAAAAGAAATTACAAAAAACTTTCTTTTTCTTATGTTTAAATTGGGCAACACTCATATACAATTATCATGAACTATCCGTAATCATCTCGAAAAGAAATTACAAAAAACTTTCTTTATCTTATGTTTAAATTTGGGCAATTTTATTTTTATTAGGTAAGCAAAACAAAAATTTTAAGAGATGCGCTGAAATCCAGGTGATTTACAAGATCAAATGAGATAGTTGCTAAAAATGTGTCGTCAACTTCTGTGAAAGAAAAATGGAGTACAATTTCAAAAGCAGAGTGAGGGGTTTTTATTGGGTGTTTTTATCCAAAGAACGGATCATTTTAAAAAATATAGAGAGCAGCATAAGTTATTTTAAGCCCTCAAATTAAGTTTTTAGGCTCAAATAAAAGATGTGCTTTTTCAGACGTCTTGCAGTGCTGCTAGGGTCCTAGTGCACTGCTGTTATTGAATTGATTTGTCTCTGTAACAGTGCTTTTTTTTGAATTGCTGGACTATCACTGATCTGAGATAGAATGACTCAGGCTCTCTGTTGAAACATTTTTTTTGTTACTGTAACGTCACTGTAATATCACTGATTTTTTCTGCAAGAAAAATTCAAGCTTCGACAAAGAAAACGTTAACGATGGCTTTGCTAACGTTTACTGAATTCCAAAAAGCACATTTCCTGAAAGAAAAAATCAAGTTCCATTATTTTTCTAACAATAAACTTATATTTTCGAAGAAAAAAAATGTAATTTAAATATTTTATGCATAGCATAACCCAATGGATCAAAAAGCTCAACTTTTTGATTGACTTTCTGACATCTGTTATCACAAAATCATTTTTCTAAAAAAAACGATTGCGCCAACTTACCAAAAACTGAATTATTTGCTGTTTTTTGTCTATGGAGGTCAAAACGGGAGACTTAAAACAAGTTTATGAAAAGTTATAAATTATCAATCTTGAATCCCGCTCGTTTGTTTTGTTACGACTCATGAATTCTTTATAGGAAACTTTTTTTATTTCCTTAAAAGTCCTAATCGTGTTTCCTTAGTCTAATAAATCTGGAACTTGAAATACTCGGTTTTAATATTTGTCTGCTTGAAAGTAATTGTTTATTCGTTTTAAAATACCCTTTTTTCGAGGAATTATATTTTTACAAACTTGAATTAGTATTTTACAGGCAGGAAGCAACATTTTTTTAAACCTCTATGAGTTATAAAACTCATAATCTATTCAGATCTAGAACCAGGAAGCTTGAAAAAAATAAAAACTAGTAATTAATTTTTATCTGGTGGCAAAATGTACTGTAGTATTCGGAAGAAAAAAATGTCTAAAGTTTTCTTGAAAATTGATAATTTATCGTAATTTCAAATAGCGCTCAAAAAAAGAGGAATAAAACTGTGTATTTTGAGGAAGTATTCAAGATTTTAAGAAGCAATTTCGGTGCTGACTGGTTGAAGTCCCAATTAAACGCACAATCTTCTTCTTATCAGATCAAAAATCATTTTTCGGAAGTTTCATTTCCTGCTGATTTACTTCAGTTAATTCAACGCTGTTTTTTAATATTTCCTGTGTAATTTCGACCAAAAAACTCCAATGCAACCGACAATTTTGGTTCACTTTTGAAAAACAGTAGTAATGTTTTGGTAACTTTTGTTTCACTGATATTTTTCATTTAATTTTTTCAAAAACTCATCATGGTACGAAGCTCATTAGATAAAATTATTTTACAAGTTCGTCTAAACTTGCCTGTTGATTTACACGTAAGCAGCGGCGTCAAAGAACTGCTTTTGTTCTATTCGGAAAAATTTTCTATTTAAAACTATTTTCAAAGTTTTTTTCCTTACCTGTTCGATTCTCATTAGGTCAATGTCTGTCAAAAACTGATGCTAGATTATAGCTATGGTATTTTAGCATAACTAAAGTTCAAATTCAATCAAGTTCTTTTTTATCCGACCTTAAATATATTTGCAGGTAATTATGGCACGATGAAATTAGTATTTCAATTATATGATACATATTCTACGACAAATTTTAAAAATCAATGGTTCGTAGGCTTCCATTCTGAAAAACATGATGTTTTGTAAAATTTACATTTTAATTTCAACCCTGAAAGAACGTATCATTAGACCAATTGTTCCGTTTCGATGCGTCTCCGAAATTGTCTTGTAGTAAAAAACAATTACTGCTCTAACCCTTGTTTTTTGACATATTTGTAAATATTGTTTATGTTTATTAATAAAGTACTGTTTGTTTAGGTTCCACGGGGAGCCGGGCAGGTTTGCGATCCAGTACCAGCTGATCACGATCGCCATCTTCGCCATCTGCTTCGTCTTCATGGCCGTCCAGTACTCCCGCATACTAGCCACTGCCAGACGACAGTACATAAGGTAAACAGTCCGTTATATTGATCTCTATATATAACTACCCACCCCCCCCCCCCCCACTCTGTAGTACCTAGTCCAGAATTGTCACCCCTATAAAGAAATAAGGCAACAGTTACGCATATGCGATTTTTTTTCACTTTGTAACAATTCTCTCCCACCTTTTCTGCAAAAGGGAATCAATGGAGAGACTTTGAAAAACCTTATAAAAATCGGTTTTGGATACCGACTTTTTCTCGGCCAAAGTTTGACTAGAAGGCGACAAATTTTCTACTTTCCTGAAATCAAAACTGGCGACGGGCAACAAAAATGGGCACCGTAAAAGCCTCAGATAGATAATACGGCATACAATAGATGGGTCACTTCTGGATGACTCTGAGTCAATAATGAGTTTATGCCGTTTTATGTATCAGCCATTATAAATTGTATAAAAATAACAAAAACCTATATATCAATATTTTTATACCATAAATTGTATACTTACGCAATGAGTTCAAATAAGTCGATTATGCAAGGAGAAAAGAATGAAGAAATGATCATTTAAACCCACGTGAAGGTCCAAAAATCTAGAATAACTCGCTTTCAATTGGCAGAGGAAATGTTTCAATAGTTCCGATTTATTATCTTCCTCGTCATAGTTCAACAGAGTTCATACAGAGTAACATTAGGTCAGTTATGGTCATTTTGGGATCTCATTTCGAGTGTTTACTCTAGATATATTTTTCCGATTTTTTGTTTACATGTCAGCCGACATATTTCTTTTACGTAAAGCAGCTTTTTAAGAAACCATTGATATCTTATGGCTCGAAAGTCAACTGGAAGCGACAAATTTTTCAAAAATCATCTCAAAAAGTTTTTCAAGTTTCAAAATTCCGTCCGAAAAGCTACGATGGCGCAAAAGTATTTGAGAAACAAAGCTGCTATTTTATGAAACTCAGTTAACTCAACTTCTGAGGTGAAAATATTTTTATTGAATTGTTCGGCGTTGTTTCGTTCTTTTTTTGCGAATAGTTTTTGTTTTATAAGGTATCTGCAAAAGAAAGGGCCAAACGTATCAGTCGAACAATCCCCTCTAAGTGATCAGTCGTAAAATGCACTCTTAGACACGTAATAATTTGAAAAGTTAATTCTGTTTAAAGTATGCATTTCGAAAACACACATTTTTTTGTTGTTACATTTTTATGTAGGATTGCATTTGGTTGCTCTGCTAAATTACTAAGTTAAAATTTTTTAAACTAATTTTCTCAAAAAAAAACTTTTTTATTCGCATAAAAGTAGGCTACCCGCATCCTAGTTAAGGCAAAAGTAGTCGATTGTAACGGATTTGTTATGGTGATTTTTTGACAATTATAAATGATTATAATTACCAAAATTAGCTGTTCAAAGGAATTATATTTGATTATAATCTTGATAATCTCTTATTTTGCCAAAAATGTGTTAAATCAAATAATATTCGAATTATAACTTATGGGTTATAAATTTTGTGTCAATAACAAAATCTCTAAAGAAGAGATCTCTTAAACACTTTGTTTCATCGGAACACAAAGTTTTACCACGAAGCAAAAGCTTCATAGAGATCCTTTCATATTAGTGGAAAGGTTCCCGCGGTAGATGAAAAATAAATCTTCAGAATCTATCATAAGACTAAATCAAATAGCTGATGTTTTTGGTGGTTGAAAAAGTTGAATATGTGCATCACAAAACAACTCCAATGGGAAAAGAATGGAAATTTTTTTTTTGATTTGATATTTTTAAAAACTGATTTGAAAATTTTAAAAACTTTTAAAAACATTTGAAAACTTTGCAATTGATTTGAAAATTTTATAAAATTTTGTTTCTCATTTTTCATAGGAACCAACGTCTACAAAAAGCATAAAATATAGGCAAGTTAGATGCAACTTAGAAGACACAATGGAAAAAATTATAATGAATTTTTGTGCAAAACTATTAAATTAGAAATTGGAACAAAAATAATGGAGTAAAATCAGTTCTAATTGCTTATAATTGTGTCGAAAAATAGACGAATAATTAATTGATTAAAATCGTTTAAAATATTTTATAATTAAATATAATTTGACTTCGAAAAGAGCGATTATATCAAATTATTAATTGATTAAAATCGATTGTTCCCATTTTTGATAAGACTGGTACTAAACTCGTAAGATAAACGATTTTTATCGCTCGAAACTAGATGCGGGTATACTTAAAGTTTTTTGTTGAAAAAGCCTACTGTTGGTTCCCACTGCATCGATTTTTTAGTGAGCGGCGCATCAAAGCAAGAGAAAATTGATCAAAAATAAAATATGTTTGTTGTTCTAAACTGTCATTAATATAATCCGATTCCATGATGTCCTCAGGCAACAAAATAGAACAAAAAATCGATTGTAATTCATTGTTTTTATGAACCTTAGATTAAAAAAAATCCAATCAAAATAATTTAAAATGTGTTTTGTTCATTTTATTTTATTTTCGCCATTTGCGCAAAACCCATCAACGTTTTTCTTTTTGCCTCTTACCACCCACCAGAACCAATCTCCCCTCATTGTTATTTTTGAAAAATTTCCGACTGAATTTGCAATTTTTTGTGCGCGATCCCTATCAAATCATATATAAAAGTTTATGCAAACGTAGTCAACCTTAAATTCTTCTCAACCCAAAAACTACAAAAAAAATTGAGAATGGTTGAATGAACAAACATTATTAAGAAAAAATGAGTAACAAAAATCAAAGTTAAATCTAAAAAAATATTCGAGTTGAACTGCAAGTAAGCAATTTTAGGTTAAAACGTGCAAATTATCCTGTGTGTGTTGAAATTTGCACCCGAACAATGTAGAAAAAATCTATTATAATGGAATTTTATTGACCTTATATATAAAAGTGAAAAGATAATTGTTTTGAAATGGATTTTGATGTTACATTATCTTTTAGCAAAGATATATTTATTTTTAGTTAATTGATTATAATCATTGATTAATATTCATTTTTGTAGACATTAACAAAGAAACTCAATATTGATCGATTATTATCCATGGAACTCGAGTGCGGTTGATCTGACCCACCATAAGAGCTGTTCAGCTCATCACCTCTATTTCTGACTTAAACATTTCTGTCCAGGCACTCATTAGGAGTGATTGACGTCAAAATCTTTCTATAATAGGCGTCGTAACTTTTCGGACGGTATTGCGCGGTTGATTTGACCAAACAGCAAACACTCAGAGGAGTGGTTTTCCTCAAGGTCTTATCTATAAAGGGCGGTCGGTCTAAAAGAAGAATGACATACCCTAAAAACCTGCTTAATTGCAGAGTGAAGAACGATATGCAATCAATATACTGATAAGTGTTGCCTTTTTTGACAATCTAAAATCTCGGAAAAGATGAGAACGCATTAATGTAATCGGTTGGAAGGTAATGTTCAACTTTTTACTTCAGCAAGTTCTGTAAATATTGCGTGATAACCTTCTTTTCTGCTCTTGGGTTTTTCTGCTAATTTATCCGCATGCATTATTTGTAAAAATATGAGAAGAAAAATACTTCAGTTCATTAAATCATTTTGTTATTAAGTTTTTAAGCATTTTGGTGAACATGCATTACTGCCAAATAGAATGCGATTCGAAATTTTTGAGATCGTACTGGGTATTTCTTCAAGAAATGTCGGAGTTTTTAACTATCCAATATTTCACATAACTTTTTTTATCATCTGAAAAATATTGACAACCTTAGTAGCTAAAATTTGAAAAAAAAAATCAACATGCGTAACGTTTTGCGGTTTTGAACGTTACGCGGTATTAAAAAAGGATTAAAATCAAAATATTTTTAACTCAAAATAATCCATCAAAATAATCGAGAAAAACTTATGAAGTTTGCAATTTTTTTCAAACTTGTGTCATTGCCTACTTCGTGCAGTTGCTGAGTGTTACGTTTCATAAAATTTTACTTTTCACATAATTTGTTTGTATTAAAGTTTTCTCTACTTTTTCTATGGTTTACGTAAGCTCTAACATCTTTTTTAAAAACCCCTTTCCCCACTTTAAAAAAGGTTTAAAATCAAAATATTTTTAAATCAGAATAATCCATTATGAAAGAGCATAATCGATTATAATGTGTTTTCGAGAAAATTTTTTGAAGTTTGCATTTTTTTTCAAACTTGTGTCATTGCCTGTTTCGTGCAGTGCTGAGTTTTACGTTTCATAAATTTTTAGTTTTCACATCATTTTTTTTGTATTTAAGTTTTCTCTACTTTTTCTATGGTTTACGTAAGCTCTAACATCTCTTTTAAAAACCCCTTTCCCAACTTTAAAAAAGGTTGATTTAAAAGGTTGAAAAAATTGATTTAAAAAATCAAAATATTTTTAAATCAAAATAATCCATTATGAAAGAGCATAATCGATTATAATGTGTTTTCGAGAAAAATTTATGAAGTTTGCAATTTTTTTCAAACTTGTGTCATTGCCTATTTCGTGCAGTTGCTGAGTATTACGTTTCATAAAACTTTTACTTTTCACATAATTTGTTTGTATTTAAGTTTTCTCTACTTTTTCTATGGTTTACGTAAGCTCTAACATCTCTTTTAAAAACCCCTTTCCCCACTTTAAAAAAGGTTTAAAATCAAAATATTTTTAAATCAAAATAATCCATTATGAAAGAGCATAATCGATTATAATGTGTTTTCGAGAAAATTTTTTGAAGTTTGCATTTTTTTTCAAACTTGTGTCATTGCCTGTTTCGTGCAGTGCTGAGTTTTACGTTTCATAAATTTTTAGTTTTCACATCATTTTTTTTGTATTTAAGTTTTCTCTACTTTTTCTATAGTTTACGTAAGCTCTATCACCTCTTTTAAGAACCCCTTTCCCCACTTTACCACGCCCCCCCCCCCAAAAAAAAAAATTTAACCCTCATCAGTTTACCCCCGCCCAACGTTTACTGAACGTAGGCGAGGTAAAAAATTTGGGGGAACAAAAAACTTGAGTGACAGGATTAAACTGGAATGTGGGGGTAAATAGGTGTTG